TTGTTTTTGGTCTATCTTTATTGTGACTGGGGTTGGTTGTCTCGAAATTTTCATTACTTTTGTTTTCTCCACATTCATTTCCATGCCATAGCACCTTCCAATTTCAATTAGTCTATCAATCATGCCCTGTAGCACAGTTTCTTCCTTAGCCATTAACACAAGGTCATCTGCATATTTCACAGTTTGAATAATTTGCCCTCCTACTTTGAAGTCTCCGAGCCCATCCAGAGCTTCCTTGGTAATCTAAGGCAAAGTTGAAAAGGAGTGGCGATAAAGCATCTCCTTGTTTTAGACCATTCGGGATAGGAAATTTATCAGACAAATGTTTACCTACACGGACTTTACTATATGTTATGAACCTAACTAGTTTCGTGGGTATCCCAAACTCTGTCAGAATATTGTACAATACTTCCCTTCTAACTGAATCGTAGGCTTTCTTGAAGTCTATGAATAGCTTATGTACTGTCTCATCGTACTCCCATTTTTTCTCCAGTATCTGACGAATGCAAAAGATCTGAAGATATAGTACAGTTCTGTTGTATTTACACACCACAACGAAATGAACCCTATCATTTTCATATCTTTAGTTGTAGGCCTAATAACGAATTTAAACAATTTATGCTCGTGTTGTACGAAGTTTCATATTTCCACAAACTTAAGAGTTAAAGTTGACCCTATGCTTAAGCAGTTGTGACGTATGGGAGCGAGGAGTTTTAACTCCACCATTCTTAACCTCGGCACTAGATGGAGGTGAGTGGTCAGCTCCACTTCCCTGCCACTTTACGCTCAGTACAAGTTCCCTATATACATTGTGTAGGAGGATGGATGGCCCCAGGTCGTTATATTTCTGCAATAAATCCGAATTCAATTTAGGAGATATTACATTATGTTTCTTGTCACATTATTGAGCTGTAAGCAAACCACAAATTTTGCCGTACGTTTGACAACAAAGCACATGTTTGGGTATGTACTAAATTGATTAAGAAGTCCACGAACGTTGTATTGTAAAGCTTTTCCGTAATTTTAATATTATCATATCAACCATAATCGTTTACTTATATTCGTCCACGAGGAGTCCTGGATAAAATAGGTACATCTGAGGAAGGGCTTAGGCAAAATTATATTAATTCCCGATTACAGGAACATCAGAATACATAAACATTTTTAAACATGCAGCAGTCAGTGATAAAACTAAAAATTACACAAAGCATTCCAGAAGTATAACGCTTTATTCACTACTTAAATATACTTGAAAGTCTTCATAACCTAGACAGCAGGGATCCCATTTTGACTAGGAATTTTTTTTCATTAGCGTCGTGTTGAGAACTTTTCTGGGGTTCAGCGCAACATCCGTTTCAACTTCTGCTGTGGTTGAGAATATATGAAACTAGTCTTAATGCCTCTTCGCGGCGTGATATTGAGACATAATAATGCTTTGGGCATTTCCTTCATATCCGAATCCCTTTGACCTTCAGTGAACCTCATGGGCGTCACCAAACTGGCCAACCCGACCGACACACTGATTAGTTCCAAACCTGGCCTTACTCACAAGTCTGGTAATATTCTACATGAAGCGAGTAACCACCGCCTGTTATTTTCTGAGTTCATTTTGAATGTGTTATCAGAAATTGGCTGAGGATCAAGTTCAGTGCCGGACGTTGGTTTTGGCGATTTTTAGTTTCCGGGTTCTGTCAACCAGAAAATTACCGTTTCATGCAATTTATCACCACGCCTGATTTTTCTGCTTCTCCTTGTTCTCGTGAAATAGACATGTTGACGCTTGTACCGGTCTCAAAGATTGTTCCCCTAAAGGCGGCTTTACACTGGGTCAACTTAAAGCAACATAGTTGCCCTCCTCGGGGTTGGTCGCATGCGGCAACGGTTGTTCCTGATGGCATGCGGTAGCGGTTGCTCCTGGCCGCATGCTGCTTGATA